TTATTCTTAAAGTGTGAGTAGTAATTCCTCAGTCATTCATTTGATAAATATTTACTGAATATACCTATTGACCTGTTGTGTGCTAGTTGCTATTTTAAGTGCTGGGAATATAGGAGTAAAAAAGACAGATAATGTCTCTTTTCTCAGGAGGACTTGAGCGATTAGAAGATTAATAGCAGTTTACTGAAATGGGTAAGACTAGAGGGGAGAGGTGGTTTTATGGGATAATCATGAGTTGTCTTTTGTTAAGTTTGAGATGCCATTTGGACATCCATGTAGATATAGATTTTATACTTGATGGTAGGTTATAGTAGTATTCTGAAATTCAGTGAGAGGTTAGGGCCAGAGGTAAACATTTGGGAATTATTGACATGTATCTGCTGGATTTGGTAATAAGGATTTCATTGGTGTGACCTTATCAAGTGTGGTCTCTCAGAGGGAATAGAAGCTAGATTGTAGAGGGATAAGGTGAGAGATGGAATGAAAATGTAAGCTTTCAGAGTACAGGTGGCAACTATAGACTCCTCTTGGAGAAATTTTCTTGTGAAAGGCAAGAAAAATGGTTGTATCTCCAAGTTAGGTCTAGATTTGAGTTTTAGTTTTACACTTGCTTGGATGCAGTTATTGGAGTACATTCTAAAGGTTAGAATATTTTATGTACCTTACACAGCCCTCTTGAAAACATTGAGGTAGATATTTTTTCTTCTTGTGACATGAGAGAGCTTAGTCTAGAGAAGTTGAATGACAGGCCAAAAATTTATAAGACAGTGGAACCTGTATTTGGACTCATTCACTTTTGATACCACATACAGGGTACTTTTCATTATACCAAAGTTTCCCTTAAACTTTTATGAACTTGATCAATTCCCATCTACCGTAGAGTTTTTGAAAAGATTACACAATGAGAGATGTGTAAATGCTTTATAAGCTGTAAATTGTCATAGATTTCTTGGGAGAATCTTGATTTTCTCTTTTTTAAAATGAGAAACTTTAGTAGGTAACAATATAAATCATGTAGCTAATTATGATATTATTTAAAACAAAAAAGGTAACTCATTACAGTTAATAAAAATTATACAAACATTCAGGAATTTAGGAGAAACTTGATTGTAGGTGCCTAGGTATTAATGTGTTGGTCTTGTATTTTGCATGTATACTTTGTATCACATATTTGTAATTGTAATTATTTAAAGAAACTTAGTGAAATTGTATCTAGTTCTGAACTTCTTACTCTATATAGTATATAAAGGAATTTGGCAGACTCCAGTAAAGACCCCAGGAAATGAGCAGATATTAGAAAATTGATCCTTTATGAAAAAGTTAAATGAATAAGAATTACTTAATCCGGATTATTCAAACTTGAATTAATAGTGATTTGCAACAAATCTGTGGATATCATCATTGTGGAGAACTGAACAAAATGGATGATGCCTTTGACAGAGTCACACTGATCAAATATTTGAAGAAACACTTGTAGGATCCCATCACCAGAGACATTTCAGAATGTTTGAAAGACTGAATGATTTTCATTTGGTAATATAAAGAATTGAGCCCATTACATATTTTGAAATCATGTATTGGGTTCAATTCTTTACATTACTTAATGAAAGAAGACTAAGTATTGGTTATGTAGATTTTGTTATTTTCATACTTTTCCTGTTCATCATACGATTGTGAGCTAGAGCTTCAGCCATTTATTCTAAAGTTAAATTTATGCTTTGCTTTTTTTTTTTTTTTTAAATCATGTGGATGCCTCCTTTCTTCCAAATCAAAAACAAAGGTGAATTGGCCCTGTCTGTTGTGGCTCAGTTGGTTTTGTTCCATGCTCCAAAAGGTTGCAGGTTTGATTCCTGGTCAGGGCATATGTCCAGGTTGTGGGCTTGATCCCCCTGGTAGGGGGTATGCAGGAGACAGCGATTGAGGTTTCACTCTCACATTGATATTTCTCTTATTCTTGCTCTAAAAATTAATAAAACTTTTAATAAAAACAACAAAGGTAAGTGCAGAAATTTAGAATGTCATGACATAAAGGTGACTTTTATTTTTTAATTTTTTTCCTCACCCGAGGACATTTTTGCATTTATCTTCAGATAGAGCGGGAGGGAGAGAGGGGGAAGAGAGAGAAACATCAACGTGAGAGAGACACAGCGACTGGTTGCCACCCACAGGACCCCGACCAGGGCCAGGGACAAATTGCAACTGAGGTATGTGCCCTTAGGGGGAACAGAACCTGGGACTCTCCAGTCCACAGGCTGGCCAGGGCTAAGGTGGCTTTTAAACAATACTTGTTTGTCCCTGGCCGGTTTGGATCAATGGTTTATGTCATGATATCCTAAAGTGTCATGACATCCTAGAGCGTCAGCCCGTGGTCTGGAGAGACCTGGGTTCGGTTCCCGCTAAGGGCATGTACCCGGTTGGGGTTGTGTGGGTGGTAACTACTCGATGTGTCTCACTCACATTGATGTTTCTCTTTCTCTTCCTCCCTATCTCCCTCTAGCTCTATCTGAAAATACATGCAAAAATGTCCTTAAGTAAGGATTAAAATAAATAAATAAATAAATAAATAAATAAATATAAACAATACTTGTTTGTCATTAGTGTTTGTTGTGACTAGAGACTGCAGAATATTCAGATGTGAGTACCATTATCTGAACTGTAGGTACTTGATGTTTGGCTAGGTTTTCTTACTAGACTTCCTGTTCTACTACTAACCTCACAGTGCATGACTTCAATTAATTTTTGGTGCTTTGTCTCTGTTAACTTACTTAGTCCTCACAATCATGTATGCAGTAGATAGAGATTGTTGTTACCTCTTACAAATTAAGTTACCATCTGTCATGACTTTTGAAGGTGTTAAAAATTAGGACATTTAAGTCTTAAAATTCTAAGGGCCAGTGGTGCCATATCTTCTTGTATTGGTTGGTACACAGTGAGTGGGGTGTAATAGTTTAAATGTAGTGGCATCACTTTCTGGTTCTATAATTAGATTATTCAGTGGCAGAGGATAGGCTGCAAAATATGTCCCATGCTGTTGTTGGCTTCCTCTAAGGTGAAAGTAGCCAACTTAAAAGTGACTTAAAAGTTATATCCTGCCCTGGCCAGTTTGGCTCAGCGGTTAGAGCGTCGGCCTGCGGTCCGGAGAGACCCGGGTTCGGTTCCCGCTAAGGGCACGTAATTCGGTTGCAGTTTGTCCCCGGCCCTGGTTGGTCGTGCGGGTGGCAGCCACTCGATGTGTCCCTTCACATCGATGTTTTTCTCTCTCTCTCTCCCTCCCACTCTATCTGTACGAAAAATGGAAAAATATCCTCAGGTGAGGATAAAAAAATAAATAAATAAAATAAAAGTTATATCCTGGTTAATGAGATTTCTGGTATCATTCCACACTGAAGAATGTGTTTGAAATTGGTACATGGTTAATGAGATTTCTGGTGTCAAGTTCATGCTTTTCCTTGATTGGAAACCTGAGTGGTACAAAATGTTCCACGTGATGGTATTGGTATGCTGTGTTCCTCATTACCTCTTCTTTCAGACTTTATTGTGAAGTAAAATACAGTGGATACATATCACAGCTACTAATAATGGAATAGGATTATTTTTAGGAATGGAATCGTTTGTTTCAACAATGAAACTCGCAAGGATATTAAATGTACCAGATTTTTTAATTTTTTTGTATTATCTACTTTTTTCTTTTCATTTTTCCATCACCATTTATCCCCTCTATGCCCTCTTTCACCTCCACCCACCCCCTTACATTTTTCTCTTTTAATCACTTCAAATAAGTAGTAGATATGTTAACCTGGCTGGCTTAAATCTCAGAGAACCTTGCTGGAAGATTTTTATCACATTTTAACTGGCAAGGGATTAGGCCTCTTAAAGTTAACACTTAAAAAACCTGTATAGTGATGGGGAGAGGGGTTTTCTGGGTACTGGAATGTTGTTTCTTGCTGGTTAAACAGCATTTATACTTTGCTAACTTTGTGTACTTTTTGTTCTTTACTGGATGTATTTTTTTTTTTTAATCCTCACCCGAGGATATTTTTCCATTTTTTGTACAGATAGAGTGGGGAGGGAGAGAGGAAGGAGAAAGAGAGAGAAACATCGATATGAAGGGACACATCGAGTGGCTGCTACCCGCACGACCAACTAGGGTCGGGGACAAACTGCAACCGAAGTACGTGCCCTTAGCGGGAACCGAACCTGGGTCTCTCCGGACCGCAGGCCGACGCTCTAACCGCTGAGCCAAACTGGCCAGGGCTGGATGTATTTTTTTACATCAGTAAAAAGTTTACTAGAAAAAAAGGTGATATAAGTACTGCAGTATATTTTCCTGAAATGTAGCCTTCATAATCTTCACAGTTCTTAAAACTTTAATTTGGTATCATTTTTCTTTTTCAGGTGTGGTCTCTATGGGCTCTAACTGACCATGTGTGCTTTTTTTGGGAGGGGGGGGTGTTAATCTTCACCCAAGGATATTTTTTCCATTGATTTTTATTTATTTTTTATACTCACCCGAGGACATTTTTCCTTTTTATTTTATTTTTTTTTTGGTTCAGATAGAGTGGGAGGAAGAGAGAGAGAGTAACATCAATATGAAGGGAAACATCGAGTGGCTGCCACCCACACGACCAACCAGGGCCGGGGACAAACTGCAACTGAGGTAGGTGCCCTTAGTGGAAACCAAACCCGGGTCTCTGTGGACCACAGGCTGACTCTCTAACCGCTGAGCCAAACAGGCCAGGGCTTTCCATTGATTTTTAGAGAGAGGGGAAGGAAGGGAGGAGAGAGACAGAGAGAGAGAAGAGAAACATCGATGTGAGAGAGACACATTGATTGGTTGCCTCCTGCCCTTGCCCCAGTGGAGGCCGGGGGTCGAACCTGCAACTCAGGTATGTGCCCTTGACTGGGAATTGAAGCCTCGACCTGTCAGCATGAGGGCCAACACTCTAACCATTGAGCCACACTGGCCAGGGTATAAACTGGCCATGTTTTGTGTTTTTTTAAAAAAAATGGAACGCTTCATGAATTTGCATGTCATCCTTGTGCAGAGGCCATGCTAATCTCTATAGCGTTCCAATTTTGGTACATGTGCTGCCGAAGCGAGTACTGACCATGTTTTTTTAAATACATTTCTTAAAAAAATTTTTTTCCTTTATTGGTTTTTAGAGAGGAATGGAGAAGGGGGAGAGAGATAGAAACATCGATGAGAGAGAGCATTGATTGGTCACCACTAGGATGCTCCCCGACTGGGAATATGGCCCGCAACCTGGGCATGTGCCCTGACTGGGAATCGAACTAGCGACCTCTTGGTGCGTGGGTCGATGTTGAACCACTGGCCACACCGGCCAGGCGAAGTACATTTTTATCTTCCTTTATTCCCCCAATTTGTAATGTTACTGACTTTTATTTATTTTAAATTCTCTTTTCGAAATAACTTTTTTCTTTATTGATTTCAGAAAGAGAAAAGGGAGAGGGAGAGAGATAGAAACATCAGTGAGGGAGAACATCCACAATTGGCCACCTCCTGCATGTCCCCCCACTGGTGATTGAGCCCACAACCTGGGCATGTGCCCTGACCAGGAATCAAACTGGGACCTCTCAGTCCATGGGACAACGCTCGATCTACTGAGCCACACCAGCCAGACTATAATGATACTGACTTTTAAAAATAATTTTCTTTATATTCATTCCCCAAATAAGAGTCAATGAATTGAGATTTTCTTTGCTAATGTTAATCATCTATTAATAAAATTATATAAGTAGCATATGTTAAGAACACCAGCAATGAGACTGACTAGATTGAAATTCTAGTTCTCCAATTACTAGTTGGTGTTGCTCAAACTGTGTCTTGCTTTACTTTCTTAACTATAAAATGGGAATTCTGATAGTATCTATTTCGTAGGGTTTTAAATGAGGCAATTCTGCATTATTTAAAAGATAGCAAGTACAACCTGGCCAGTGTTGCTCAGTGGTTAGGGTGTTGGCCTGAGTGCCGAAAGGTTTGGGGTTCAATTCCCAGTCAAGGGCGGCATGTACCTGGGTTGCAAGTTTGATCCCCGGCCCTATTTGGGGTATGTGCAGGAGGCTACCCATCAATGTGTCTCTCTCACATCGATGTTTCTCTCCCACATCAATGTTTCTCTTCCTCTTCTCCCTCTCTCCTTCCCTCCTTTCCGTCCACTCTCTCTAAAAATCATTGGGGAAAAAATATCCTCTGGTGAGGATTAACAACAACAATAAAAAGATAAAAAAAAAAGAGAGATAGTGCCTGACACATAGTAAGCACTGAATATGTTATGGCTACTGTTACTATCATTTATGGTGATAAAATACACACATCATGAAGTTTATCATTTTGACCATTTTTAAGCTTACAATTTCAGTAGTATTAAGTACATTCACAATGTTGTATAACCTTCACCAGTATCTATGCTAAAACTTTTCCATCACCTAAAGCAAAAGCTCTAACCATTAGCAATAACTCCCCATTACTCCCTTTCCATAGCCCAGATATCCTCTGTTCTGTTGTATCATGAATCTGAACTTCATACTCTTTTATAGCTGAATAATATTCCATTGTATTTTTATACCACATTTTATTTCTTCATTCATCTGTCCCTGGACACTTGTGTTGTTTCCACATTTTGGCTATTGGAAATATTGGTGTACAAGTATATGAGTCCATGCTTTTAGTGGAATTGCCGAGTCCTGGTTATTCTGTGTTTAACTTTTTGAGGAACCTGTTACTGTTGTTTTAATCATTATCATTGTCATAATTTGGTGAGATGTATTAGGAAGCTTTTTTTGGTATCCAGGTGCTGTTAGAGCATTGTTGTATGCATGTTTTATTGGGAAACTATGTGCATGATTTTCTACTCCTTGCATTGAAATTTTTGGTGTGGAATATTATGTATAACCGTGAAGCTGGACTTGTATGCTATTTTTTTCTTTAATTAAACTTTTCATTTGGAGATAATTATAGGTTTACATGAAGTTCTAAGAAATAATACAGAGAGATCCCCCATATACCTTGCCTAGTTCCTCCTAGTGGTAAGATTTTGCAAAACTATATTTAGTAAAATATTACAAACATGATATTGACATTGATAGAGTCAAGATACATAACAATTCTTTCACCTCAATGATATTTTATGGTGCCCTGTTATAGGCATATCCACTTCCTTCTCATTCTCCTTCCTTCCTTCCTTCCTTCCTTCCTTCCTTCCTTCCTTCCTTCCTTCCTTCCTTCCTTCCTTCCTTCCTTCCTTCCTTCTTTCCTTCCCTCCCTCCCTCCCTCCCTCCCTCCCTCCCTCCCTCCCTCCCTCCCTCCCTCCCTCCCTTCCTCCCTCCCCGAGGACTCTTTTTTTTTTGCATTTATCTTCAGATAGAGCGGGAGGGAGAGAAGGAGGAAGAGAGAGAGAGAAACATCCATATGAGAGAGACACATCAACTGGTTGCCACCCACATGACCTCAACTGGGATGGGGACAAACTGCAACCGAGGTACATACCCTTAGTGGGAACAGAACCTGGGACTCTCTGGTCCGTAGGCCGAAGCTCTAACCACTCAGCCAAACCGCCCAGGGCTCCCGTACCTTTCTTAATTCCTGGCTTCCACCAATCTGTTCTTCATTTCTATATTGTACTCATTTTAAGTATGGTGTACAATCATGGACTCCTATAATGACACTTTTTATTTATTGAAAAATATTTCTCTGTAGGTTTGCCTTTTTTTTTTTCTTTTGACACATCTGTAGAGCTTTTTTTTTTTTTTTTAATATGTTTTTATTGATTTTTTTTTAGAAAGGGAAGAAGGGAGAGAGAGATAGAAACATCGATGTGAGGGAGAAACATCAATTGTCTGCCTCCTGCATGTCCCCTGCTAAGGATGGAGCCCGCAACCTGGACATGTGCCCTGACTAGGAATCGAACCAGGATCTCTCAGTCCATGGGATGACGCTCACTCCAGTGAGCCACACCGGCCGGCAGATTGATACCAGTCATCTTACTCTCTGGTATTATTCTGCAAACATCCTGCCTAAAGTGACTGTTTCGTAGTAAAGTTAATTTTGATGAAGTCCAGTTTATCATTTTTCCTTATTATGGATCATGCTTTTGGTGTCAAGTATCAAGACTCTTTGCATAGCTATAGATCCTGAAGATTTTCTCCTATGTTTTAAATAAAAGTTTTACATTTTATATTTAAGTTCATGATCTATTTTGAGTTAGTTTTCATATAGGGTGTGAGGTTTATTTAGGTCGAGGTTCTCCCCCTTTCTCCCCAAGGGATTATTTCCATTTCATTATTTGTTTTAACTATTCTGGTCATGTGCCTTCCATATAAATTTTAGAATAAGCTTGTCTTTATCTACAAAAATCCTTGCTAGGATCTTGATAGAAATTGCATTAAACCTATAGAAGAATTTGGGAAGTATTGATGCTTTACTATATTTAGTAGTTCAGTTCATGGATATTAAATGTTGCTGTTTTTAGACCTTTGATTTCTTTCATTAGCATTTTGTAATTTCACGAAAGAGATCCTATATATATTTTAAGTGTATACATAAGTATTTAAATTTCTTTGAAGTAATTGTAAATGACATTGTTTTAAATTTCAGTTTCCACATGTTTATTGTTAGTATATAGAAATGTGATTGATACTTGAGTGTTCATGTTCTATCTGTTGACCGTGCTCAACTCACTTAGTAGTTCTAGGACAGTGGTTCTCAACCTTCCTAATGCCGCGACCCTTTAATACAGTTCCTCATGTTGTGGTGACTCCCAGCCATAAAATTATTTTCGTTGTTACTTCATAACTGTAATTTTGCTGTTATGTGTTAGGCGACCCTGTGAAAGGGTTGTTCAACCCCCAGAGGGGTTGTGACCCACATGTTGAGACCCACATGTTGAGAACTGCTGTTCTGCCCTGGCTGGTTTGGCTCAGTGGTTAGAGCGTCAGCCTATGGTCCAGACAGACCTGGGTTCGGTTCCTGCTAAGGGCACGTACCTCGGTTGGAGTTTGTCCCTGGCCCTGGTTGGGTTGTGTGGGTGGCAGCCACAAAAAATGGAAAACAAAAAATGTCCTCGGGTGAGGATAAACAAACAAACAAACAAAACCGCTGTTCTAGAAATTTCTGTAGATCTTCAGTAGCATTTTAAGGCTTGTTTTGAAGTATTTTATCTTTTATTTTCTATTGTGTATATTAGTTTTTTCCATAATAACCAAATATTGTGGGCTTTTAGGATGGAAGCTGTTGATATCCATATATTAATTTTATATCCAATCACTTTGATGAGTTTTCTTATTGTAATATTTTTCCATTGATTCTTTTGGGTTTATAACTAAACTGTGATAAAATGTATAAGTAGTTATAATTTTATAGTCTTCATTTTTTCCTTTTGTGTAGTTGTTTATAACCTCCAGGAGAGTTAAATAACAGTGATAAATGAGATACCCTTACCTTGCTTCTGACTTTACCTTAGAGTCTTAGAATTGATTGCTTTGTGTTTCAAGGTATTGTATCTGGTAGAACTTCATTTTATCATTAGAAATAAACTAAAATGTATAGTAGATTACAGTTGTTTCCAGTGTTCTCGTATTGGGCTGTTTTGTTAAATCTTTGGGAACCTGAGTGTTGACATAAATTTTTTTTTTCCTTCAACAATTCTAAATATATTGGTAGGCCTTTCTGCTTTAGAATATGTAAAATGGTGAATATAATTAAATTTTTTTTGATTGGAGATTTTATAGTGCCGTCTTTTGTTCATTCTTCTTTCATTGTACTTAAAAATTTAGAAAGCAACCCTGGCTGGTTTGGCTCAGCGATTAGAGCGTCGACCTCTAGGGAGGGACTAGGGAGTCCTGGGTTCGGTTCCTGCTAGGGACATATACCTCGGTTGCAGTTTGGGTCGTGTGGGTGGCAAACACTCGATGTGTCTCTCTCACATGGATGTTTCTTTCTCTATCTTCCCCTCTCTCTCCCTCCCGCTCTATCTGAAGATAAGTGCAAAAATGTCCTTGGGTGAGGATAAAAAAAAAAAAAATTAGACTGTCTATTGATCTCAGCCATTTCTTCGAAATTGATTTTTTATTTTTATTTTTATTTTT